GCATAGATAGGCAACATCAGGTTTTATCTTGAGCCTTACGACCTGGTCTTCAGAAGAATTATGATCTGGCTTGAGTTGATCAGAGAGTTCAAAGTAATGCATCTAGTCCCATTTAAATAGTCTGGACTGGTTTTAAGTTCAGATTTGATTTCATTCCGTGGCTACAGGTGCAGCACACAAAATTGAGCAATGACCTCTGATAGAAATGTGAGAGTCCTGAACCACTGTGTGTTGAATTAACACATTTAGCATTCTCTACCCTTCTAAGCAAAGCTTTAGTTAGACAGATCTTTTGTCTATTTTTTCTTTTTTTTAATTGTGCATAATAGGTGTGTTGCAGGGTTGTTTACCATTTGGCCTTTTTCATATGCTCTTTTCGTAGATAGATACTTCTAACATTCTGGAGTGACAAAAGTTAATCTTATTTCAAGCCAGCTTGGGAAATTCTTGGAAGAGATTTCTGCAGTCAGAGCCCCAGGGTTTATTCTGTTGTGACTGCGTGCGCTGAATGCTCCCATTTAATTCCTAAAGTAAATACTGTTTTTCAGCTTCTTAGCCAATAAATAATGAATACGCTGCTGTATTATCCCTTAGCTGGTGACTTTCAAATCTTGTCATGCTCTTTGTTCCCAAATAATCATGAACAGGCAGAAGCATGAACATGGCTGTGTGTACTGGGGAAGGAACAGAAGAAAGTTATTTTCAGGTGACTTCTCCGTTGCTAACCGACCAGTCAAAACCCTAGAGAAGATACGTAGAAAATCGTAAGTTCTCTATCTAGTTTAAAGGGTCACAGTTTCATGACTGGCAAACAGATAGTCACATACGAAGCTAAAAGTCCTCAAGGAAACTTGGAGTTACCATTCCAGCTGTAGTTCAATAAACCTGAAATGCTCAAAATCCCTGTGGTATATCATGGGAGGACAGCTGGTCTGTCTGACAGAAACAGTTTAGGGTTTTACTAGTTACAATAAAGACCTTTGGCAGGATTTTTTAAGACCTTGAGGGACTGAAGGTGCCCTCCTACCATGATGTTTGAATCTCAAGAGGTTTTTGTGTCTGGCCTCGGGCGTTTGTGTACATGTGTGAGGTTGTGGTGGTTGCTGTCGTTGTTGTCCCCTTCCCAGCCCAGCTGTAATTGTACCCTCTAAGCAGGGAAACAGTTTGCTGCCAGTACAAAATACTGATACATACGTGAACTGCCTTTTGATACTTGCTGGAATTTCTGGATAGTTTAAGCTCATAACTTAAGGAGTGTAGGGCAGTAGGCTATCCCAATAGGGCAGTGTTCATTTCTGCTTGACAGGCTCTTGGAAACTGATGCATATCACAGGTTCAAAGTGCTGAGCTATGTGATAGGTTTTCCCAGCTTCCAAACCATAGGAATGTGTAAGATCAACTTTGAGGACAGCAAGAACTCAGGATAACACACCACCTCTGCCCCCCAAATTTCAACTGCTTCTAGCAGTACCATTAATCCTTTCCACACAGGTTGTTTAAAGAGAAAAGTTCAGTGCAGTGGGTTATGTGATTTTGTGAATGTTTTGGGTCATGTGTATGTATATGAAAATATTTGTATGTGAACTTCCAGCCCTACCAAATTTTAAACTTCTTAGAAACTGTGCAGTCCTACTCTCTTATGTCTTTTCTTTAATCTTCAAATGGTGTCCTTGCAAAAAATCTGCTCTGATTACAGTCATTATATCTGAAGCTTCATTTGAATTTAATCTGAATACAGACTTCTGCTGCTTTCTTTAACTGACTTACATATTTGCTATAGCTGATTAGATGGGTTGTTTTGTCTTCAAGTTAGCTGCATTTTCATGCCTGATAAAATAAGCTTGTGTGTGTGTATATATCTTCCTGTTGCATAGTTCGTAATTATGTGTTTTTTCAGTTGTTTTGGTGATAAAGTCTGACATAGCCAAAATCTAGAGCTGCTGAAAAATGTAGAGGAAAATGTAAGGAATGAAATAACTTAAGTTCTGCATTTGTTGAGCTAAATACTAATATGAGAGGTGAATGAAGCGTGTTTTTCACATTGCAATTAAATTCAGAAGACAACTTCATTAATTGACTTAGTATTCTCAATATCACTTTAACTTAAAAAGTAAATGAAAATATATCAGTCTAGGATTGTAAGCAGTAGTCTAACTGAAAACTTTAAAATACTTGGAAATTTGTTATATAAAATTTGTCTGACGTAGCAGGTAGGAGTGGTACATGTTCTTACTTGGTTTTCTACGTATGTACTTTCCAAGCAATATGCAGTGAAAACACTTTCAAAACAGGACCTTGTTCAAAGCTTGTATCTTGGTTACCCATTATGACTCTTAGTATGTTATTTTTTAACAAAAACCCAACTTATGCTAGTCACTTGATATTTGCTATTGCTTCCTGTGGTCTGGAAGGACACTTTGACCCAGAATTGCTTGTTCTGATGGAAGCATTGAAGAGAGCAGAAATGTTAGAGAATACATTGCACAAATACAGTGATGATAGACATGAAGTACGTGGCTCCTGTAGGAGCTACATTTATGTTTAGAGTTTTACTTTACTGACATAAAACCTGTAAAACCTTATCTCAAATACGTTCATCTGTTTCAAATTCACGTTACTGTTTCACTGCTGTGAAGCTAATTTACATAAACATAAGACCACCTTTCAGTGAAGCAAATAAAAAACCAAAATGACAGAAAAGGAATTCACTTTGTACCTCTCTTGAAGCTGAGCATAAAAAGAACAAAGCTAGGAGTTATTAAAGATTTAAAGCAATAGTCTTTACATCTACATTTACATCTACATTTGCATTGTTTCCTATAAATATAAGCATACCTGTTTTAAATACAATAATGTGTGATTGCAGTTTTTGCTTCTGTTTTATATGGTCATACTGCTCCTCAAGTAAGCTCACATCCATCTTGGTTGGCTGCTTATCATGATCTGAAGCCTGTTGCTCTGAGGTATGAGTCACTGAAAAAATACCAGTCATGTATTTGCAAACCTTCACCATCTGTTCCAACAAGGAAGAAAAAGTCATGCAGAAGCAGGACATTTCCTTCATTGTGTTGGCAAAAAAGCAAATCAGGTATGAAGCATCTGAAATCTTCCTACATGAAGAAGTAACTTTTTCTAAGTACAGAGACTTCTTTCAGAAGTTATGTGGTCCGTTCTGAAGTTGTGGATTTCAGCCAGCTTGTTTTCATGCGGTGCATCTGGAGCTACTGCATTGGAGTTCACGATTATAACTGGATAGTCGGATTTAATGTTGACTTAAGGTTGTGAGCATATGAACTTTTGCCAAAAACAACAGTGAAATACAAAACCTCATTGAACACAGGCAGGTGCACAAAGGGCTGGGTAATACTGGTTTATGTAGTAATGGTAATTCTTAAAGGGATGCTGCCATGGTGACCTCCCCAAGACAGTAGTTCCACCAGGGAAATCTACCTTCAGGTTTCTTTCCATGTATTTTGTGTCTTTTCCCCTCTGCTCTTCCTTCCTTAACTTTCATTCAGTTTCATTCTTTCTGCAGCTTCTTGGGGCAGTGGGGTGGGAAGGGAAGATTTCTTATACTTTAAAAATTTTGTGCTTATTGCTCCCTTTTAAGGATGTGTTAAAAGTATTCAGGCCTGGGTGCGGAATCAAAACAGTATGTGCTGGTGGTGCTTGGAATTGGGAGGCTGGAGATACTCTGACTCATTCATTTTTTTCCTGCCTTTCTATAAAATGAAATAAACTGTAGCAGCAATCATTTCCTTACTGAGAGCTGAACAAACTCTTCAAATGCACGATAAGCCACAGTTTAAAACTTGCCATACATGTTATAGCATTATCTAATAACGAGGCAAAAAATTTAAAAATACGTGGCTTTTGATCATGTCAAGTGGAGTATGAGACTATGTCTGAAGTATGAACTGCCAGTTTCTCTCCCTGAAATAGGTCCATCTGATACTGTTGCAAGGGCCCAAAAGAGTAGTATGTGAAAAAATGTGTTTCAACAGTAGTTTTAATATAATTGTGCATCTGCTAAGTTCCTTGCAGTGAAAAACATTGCATAAAAAAACATTGTGAAAGGGCAGTGTGTGGAAAGAATGCCGGTGTGCTGTATTTCTCCAGTTACTGGCAGAAATTATGCGATGATTTGCATCATAAATGATGTACTGAATCAGTCTCAAATCCTGCAGATCTTGGGAATCCCTTTGGAAGCTGTGCGTACGCAGGTGACAAGACTCTAGTTACGCAGTGCATGGAGTTCTGGTAAGGCTCAGCAGGCTCACATGTGCAAGTCATTCACTGCTGTAATTCACTTATTAATAATTGCTTTTGCCTTCCCAATATGCTTGTGTCTTGCAGATCACGTTGCCTATCTCAGCTGCAGTCTTTTTCTGCCTTAGCCAGGGCAAGAACAGTAAACGCAATACTTTGTCAGACACTGTAGATACTCTTCAAGTTAGTTTCCCTTCTTGAGCCTGGAAAAAGCATGTGTTCTGTTAGAGTTGTTTGGATGTATCATGGCTTTGGTAGATCTGCTTTGATATTCAGCCTTCAGTAGTGACAAACACCCAGTGCTCTGTAGAAAGGAGTACCTTGATTGCCTTGTTTGTTCTGAGTTGTTGGCACATGGAGTCCTCCTTTGGACCTTCAGGCAGTTGGTTTATACATTGGGGCAGGAGATTTAACTAACCTCATTACAGTTTGAGCTGGCGTTCAATACAAACATTATTAATGGCCGTAAAAGTTACCCAACCTTTTTAAAATTCCAGTCATGCTATTTGACTCCTTGACCTCTCGTGAAAGTGACTTGTGCAACGTGACTATGGGTTGCAGAAAGAATTACCAGGGTAGCATCCTTGACCATGAAATGTAGGCTCTGTCTTAAAAGACGTACATTTAACTTCTCATTAGAAAAGCATTTAAAGTATAATGAGTTTGTATCTGATCAGAATTTATTATTGTTATTAATTATTTGTACTCTACCATTCCTTCAGGATCATGGAAAAGCCATCATGCTTAGTTATGCAAATGGATTGCACAAGACAGTCTCTTCCCAAACAGTCGCATGGCTAAGCGGCATAACAAGAAACTGGGAAAAGAAACCAGATGCCCGGTGAAATGAAGTGAATGAGTCCAGCTGGTACAGCAGATCGCTGGAACCAGGAACAGGATTAGCTTTTGTTTTGCTGGAGCCAGTCCCATATACGTTGCAGTTTGTTTCCTTTTCAGGGAAAGCTTGTGAACAGAGCATCTTAGTTCAGTCTCAAGAAGTGTGTATATATGTGTCTGTGTGTATATGCTTTGCTATGAAGGCGTGCGTTTGTGTAATACATATGCATACACACATACCTGCATGTGTTTTGTGAATAATTAGCAATTGATTGCAAATGATTAATATGATTCATAAAACGAGTTGCAGGCCTAATCTACGTAATATCAAAAAGTACATAGGGTTAATTGGGGTTTGATGTGTACTGAGCTGAGGTAACTAATCTGTGTTATGCCACTAACACAAATTTGGAAATGGATTATATGTGGGTTCTGTTCTTATACCCTAGTGGAACAACTTCCTTTATACCCCTAGCCTGTTTAGGTATTACTAATAAAAAAAAAAAAGAAAATTCTTACTGTCATCCATACACACAACATTATGACTTCTGTTTAAATCAGTCAGTTGTTCAGACTTCTTTAAATTGAGTTATTTGGATCTGCAGACCACTGTATACTTTTAAAATACGCAGCAGGTGGCACTGTTGGAGTGGTATGACGATCTTTGCCTTAGTCCTAAAATGTGAGAGGCCCCCATTTGGCTTGTAGGTTGCTGAAGAATATAAGCAGTCGAGCCTTTTCCTAGCACTGGTACATGTATTTCCTAATAGTAATACAGGTTCTGATAATCTATTGCCATGATTAGGTTTGTGTAAAAACTTGTCTTTAATTGAACAAACTCCTGTCAAACATGTCATCTGTGAGTGATTTTTGTTTGATTACCTACTGAAGTCTGAAGTGCCCTATTTCCCTTAAGTCTGTTCTTCCATCACACAATGGAAGCAATTCTTCATTTCCTTGAGGCAAAAAAAAATTTGAGAATACTTCATAATCCAAAAGCAATGGCTTTTAGAACTTGAAGTAGATGTTTACTGCTTTGACCTTGGTTGCAAAATCTCATTTAAAAAGATGCAACTAATTTTATCTCACGCTAATTAATTTGTGAGTAGTAAATTAGTTGGTTTTTTTTTATTAAGAAATTGTTTGGAGGACCTTATAGGAATAATTGTTGATTTAAGGATAATTAAAAAAGCTCATAATGGCTAACTGTCTGAATGCACTTCCTCTAACACTGGATTTTACTGCACACCTGGGACCAGAGGTATATATGATTATTCGTGTTGTTCATGTGCAGAATTACAGACATGTCCAACACTGCTCATGCAGGTTACAAAGACAGAATATAAATATCTGTAGGTTGTAACTGGCACTGAGAAGGAAAATTAAAGTTCCTGTAATAATCCCCATTCTCTAGCTTTCTATAGTGATTTTTTTTCTTAATTTAAATGCAGTCTTGAAGTGTTAGAAAACGACTGTTGTTAGAAAATGCAATAACAGAAAGAAAGGTAGAAACAGGGTGGCTGCTATTACTTGTATTCCAGACAATGGAATCAATAGTAATTGTTTACTATTTAATGAGATTTTTGATAAGAGCACGCATATTTTTGTTACTTGAAAGCACAACCTTAAGGCATGCTGCAGTTAGGGACTGGTGTAAGTAGTTTGAGCGCAGGACTTTCTGATGATGCAAGATTATTTTCGGTCCTCTCTGTGTGTCCATGCTAATGGGCTGAAGGAGCCGATGATGCAAGTTTTCATTATGAGGTTGCGATGTTTCTTCTGATCTGACCTTTCACGTGCTTTCAGACATAAAGGGTTCAAGCGTGTCAAAGGGAGGGTGGCCCAGCTGTCCATCAAGTCCCTCTGAAGGTATGGTGAGCTTGGGCTGTATGTAGTCTACCTTCACATTTCCTTGATAGTATTCTGTTTTCCCTCCTTTATTCCTTGGGGTCTTTATGTAAATGTAATTAGGTAGTGTGTGTGTATGTAGGTGTATATATCAATATATCTGTATATTAGAAATAAATCAGGAATGTTACTTTGCTGGTCTGAGAAGGTTGCCTGGTAGTACAGGCTGTAAAATGGCTCTCCAAATTTCTATTCCTTAGATCCCTGAGGTTCCCAAGTGACCGAATCCAGTACCAGTGATCAGGAGGAATGTTGCAAAACACTGGTGTGCCCAGCATGAGGTAGAAGCTGTAGGAAGCTCCAAATTGCCCCAGTCCAGCAGTGAACTCTGGCATCTCTGATCCTGTGCTCCGCCTGGGTGGCTACAAAGGCTCAAATCAAGGGCACCAAGTTAGCACTGAGGATTTCGTACCAATCGTCCTGTGCTTCGCCTCGAATACGCACGTATCTGGCTTTGCACGTGCTGAGAACTTGATGCTATCCAGTTCCCTTCGCAGAACCACAGTATGTTTTTTATTTTGGGGATGGTAAATGCAGTCACACTGAAATCACTGGATTCCTCTTAAGTCAAATTGAATTGTGCTGGTTGTGAGGAGTAAAATACAGCAGATGTTCTGTATGTGGTTTTTGTGTCTGCTGTAAGCAGCATTTAAAACCCTCTGTTTCTGTCTTGACTCTGTTGGTGCTGAGGATTAAGTAACCTTCCTTTGGAGTGTTACTTGCCATGGAAAACAAAATGCTGAAATTGGCTCTTGTTAGAGGGCCACTCGCTCTGTTGGTTGTCTGTGCTATTACTCCCTCTATGTAAACAATCAGCATCCAAAACGTAGGGTCAGGAGTTGTCCATTTTGTAGTTCTGCTGTTCTTGCCCGCAGAACTTCTGAGATTCCCTTTTAGAAGTAACAGTGTGCAAGTCTGAAAAGAAACTGAAGTTATTTACTAGTTAGAGATTTTAAACAAATGAACCCTGACATCCTTCCTTACCATTTCCCTTGCTTCCTTCTTAGTTCTTGGGTTTCTTAAATTGGTGTGACAAACAAGATGGTCAGGTTTACTCCATTTTGACCTCATAAAACTGTCCACAAGAAGAGGGTGAGAGGGAACTGAATGGCCTTCGGTAGTCCTCTTCAGAGGATTTTGGAAATTCATTGAAGCTTCCTTGATCCTACAGATACCTTAAATTTCAGTTACGGATAAGCAGAGTTCACATTTCTGGTACTGCTACCTATGTCTTTTCTATACCAGCTACTTCTCTGACTGTTTCCTATCCATAGAGTTATGATGGCTACAGCTCTGGGAGGTGACAGCAGCCTGTGTTTATTTGTTCTCTCAGTGGACATAATACGCATATAGGAACTCTGGGAGAATTTCAAGCAGGGTCTAAAACAAATTAGATAAGCTATATACATTTTCTGTCTTGATTTTTCTACCTGTAAACTACACGATTTTGATTCATTCTTGATTGCAAAATTATTTTTTGAGATTGCAAAGATCCAAAAATAATTTTGCAGGATGGTGCTGAAAAGTGCAAGGCTTGGCCCTTATTAGTTTCTACTTCAGGCATTGTTTGAGTAGGAATGAGTTTATCTTTGATTGTTTTTAATCAATAAAATGTACTTATCTGTAAGTGGAGTTTGATAAGAATCGAGTACAGCATGAAAGAACTGGTTAATCTGTTGTTAATTAAAAGTTTTATCTGGATGACAACATCTTGCTTCTGAGATATTTGCTTTTGAGCATTAGGACACAAACCACTTTGGTGTTCATCTTCAAGGAAATCTGCTGGGTGTATAAGTTAACTTTAATAAGCCTTGCAAATGACTCTAGTTAAGATAGTCATCCAAAGAGGATGGTTAAGTACTATTGCTATTGTGAGAATGAATATGGACTTGAAATCTGTGCAAGGGAGGAAAGTATCCTAAAAATAATTTGCTATTCAGAAACATCCTTCACTTCGCTTCCATGCAGAGATCTCATGAGGAATTTGTACTGCACTTCATAATCACTAGTAGCTAATTGAGTCAATGAAATTACATCTGTAAAACTAGAGTATGTAAACCCAGATACAATTCCATAGTGCCTGATTCAGTACCCACTGAAGTCAACACATGTTTTGTTGAATTTGACAGAAGTGAAATTGGAGAATTTTATGTACCTGATTAAATAAAAGCTGCAAATCGACCAATACCTATGAAACTGACGGTATAACTGAGATTGTGTAGTTGAGCCATCATTTAAATTCTTTTCTTGTACCTGTTGTTCATGTGCATGTATACACTTTTACACAGAATCCTGTGCCAGTTCTTCATGAGGTCTCTGTAAAGGGCCTTAATTGGTTAATGCAGTACCACACCTGGGATTTGGAATATGCACATGTCAAGAATTAAATTGACCAATAAGTATGTGGAATAATTACCTAAATAAGCTATGTCTTCAGTCTCTGTGTGGTCTGGGCTTCCTCTTGTGGAACTCGCGCTTTTGCTGGATCTCTATACACGCTTTCATCTGTTCACAGTACAGTCAGTAAAGTTACAGTGGATAACAGCCACGTCAATCCATTGCTTTTAAACATCAAGTACTTAATCCTGCGAAGTGAACAATGAGACTCTCCCCAGCATTTGGAGGTATGGCCAAACACAATGGTTACCACAAAATCAGGTGCAGAAGTAACTTCAGCAGCTAAATGAGTATTTAGGGAAGGGAAAATATTTTTGGTGTTGTAATGCCATCTCAATAAAAAGAACAGCAACTTCATCTTTTATGGTCCTGTGGAATTTTGTATTATCAGTAATTGGTTAAACATTGCTGGAGATTTTGTGATAACAGAGTACCTGCAATGCTAAGTAGAAAGGGAATGACCTTTAGAGTGTTGTCATTGTTCAGATATCTTTCCAGCAGGTAGGTCTACTGCTCAAGCTGAGATTTTTTTTTTATTTAAGGTGATGTGTTAATGTGTTATTGTTGTGTTACTTGGGGCTTAACATTGTAAACACCTCCCACCTCATTAGCAGCATTGCACGTGACTGTCAGGTTATTTGGCAAATAGGTTGGAGTTTTTCTGACCCAGCTTAGTATCTTTAATGTTTCTGAAGCTAATTAAAGACCCACAAGATTTCTTATTGGGAAAAGGATAATTATGCCAGTGGGCCTAACAGTGCTAGGTCTAATATGGGCTGCCACACTTGTGTTCAGTGTGCATAACTGATGTCTGTGTGTGCAGTGGCTCTTACCTGTACCCTTGCTTCTTCTGTGTGCCAACCTGTGCTCGTGTATGAATGTGAAATACCTGTTTGGGGCTTAGAAATATTTGGCTGCCCTGCTGCTTAAAATAACTAGTTAGATGCCCAAAAATCTACTGCTAGAAGCAAAAGGATTGGTAGCCTTGTAGTTGCCCATGGACTTCTGTTACTTCCTGTGAAGGTGTGAGTATTTTCACATCCTGTTAAATTATGTAGCCAGTAGAAATCAGGGTAGCTGGACTGCTGTCAGCATAGTAATCCTAATTTATATCAAAGGTCTGGTCTATCTGTTCTCTAGCTCATTAGAGATGATGTGATGATAATGAAGCAGGGTAGTTAGGCTGTCACTGGTTTGAAGGAGTTCACCTGTGTAAAGCTGAAGAATGCAGTTAAACCAAAGTTTGTATCAGGGTGCAGCTGAGATCAGAGGCAGATTTTGATATTCAGAATAAAAAGTGAAAAATCTCAGTATGTAGGAATATGGAATACAGTTCAAATAACTTACATTTTGCAATTAATTGAAATGAATGTGCAGTTGAAGTTAACTTGACAGTGGAGGAAGAAAAAGAAGCATTAATTGACATACTAGTTATAACTTATCAAAACAGCCAAGGGCCTAGAAGAGCATGGAAATACCGCTTCTCCATCAGGTCAGAAACTAGTTAATGGGAAAAGGGGAATAAACTCGCTTTTCCCTTTACCCTGCTCTGTGTGTCTTGAGTGATTAATCTGTGCTCTGCCTCAAGCTGTTAATCTGCAGTGGTGACATTTCAATTATAAACGGCATTTTGTCCATCCCCTCTGGAAATTCTGGATTTGTCAGTGCTAAAGCATCACTAGTACATGACTACAACCTCACTGATAACTGCACAGCTAGACCTTGTTTGTGTTCAAGAAACAATTTTGGAGGTTACGGTAGTATCTGCCAGCATAAACTTTAATGCAGAAAGAACAGCAGCAACGCACGTTTTCCATACACAAACCACTAAATTTGAAAGAACACTGACTTGATGGAAGGATGAGCAACAGAGTGACTGGGTAAGGCAGTGATTCTCCAGACTTACCTCTTTTCTCTAGAAAAACATGAAGAGTGAAAGTAGCAACATTCCCATTCTGCCCTTGAGTGGGTCCTCCTACCCTATTGTCTTGCACCCCTGTTCCTAATTTAAGGAGATCTGGTAACATGCGGGTGGCTATTCCAGCCCCAGCTTTGCTATTTAAAGCAAAGTATTTCTTGCAATTTTGGGACTATTCTTCTGATCTGACTGCTGAAGAACATAATTGATTCTTATATCCTCTTAAGATTGCTTTGTTTATTTATAAACTGTTGTTTCCACTAACCAGTACCTCCTTTAAAAAAATTAAAAATCTACTATTGCCTCTTTTTCTGAAGTAATTTATCATTCTTACGGCTTTCTTCAGAACTGACTTCAGTTTCTCTTTGTTTTTGCGAGTAGTTATATTTTGAAAATTGCAGCATTTCAAGCCTCAGCCTCTGTCTCTTCTTTATAGGGAACATGCAGCACGTGAAAGGGCAGAGCAAGCCTCTCCTCCCTGGCTCACGAGCCATATTCTGCATGCATGATAAAGCAGCCTCCACGTGTTATTTGGTCTCTTGTTGCCTGGTAAGCCTTACACTAAGGAAACAGTTACTGGTAACATTTTAAAAACTGTATTTCCTTTCACAGCCTCCTCTTGGTTAAGTGAGACCTTTGTTCAGGACGGGTCCCTCCAGCATGAGCTCCTTATGGACAGGGAAATTCCACTGCTACCTGATGGCCATCTGATTTAACAAAGACAAACTACAAACTGGGTGACAATTCCACATACCTTTTATTTTCAAATGGATCAGTACTTCCACTTAGCTGCATTGGGATGTTTCTTGATGGAAAACTATTCCTATACATTTGCAGGATTAGACTCTAAAATGCAGGCCAACACCACTATGCATTTGAAGGGATTCCCACATTGTAAATGTTTTTCAGAGAATTTATTTAAACTGGCTTATTTAAAGATTTTGTGACCACATTTCTAATACAGGTGCTCTCAGTACAGAATATTCAAAGATGTTACAATAGTAAGATTGGTTTAAAAGTCAATATATTAGAATGTTTGCATTGAAGGTTGAGTCTTCAGGATTAAGGTTTTAAAGGTTTTTCTTTGCAGTAATAACTAGAAATCTTAAAAGTATAAGCCTATGGGAGCTAGGGCTTTGAGAAATCATGGGGAATATTTAAAATGTATTTGAAATATTCAGTATTTGACAAAATTTTGTAATATTTTATAGTTTAAAGGGCATTTCAAATTAAGTAGTTGTACTGTTAAAACAGTTTTAAGATCCTGGGCATGCAAAACCTATTTGACTTCATTAAGGCTCTGCTGAGATACTGCCTTGATTGCAGAATGAAAGCCTATTTTAGAGTGAACCTTCTGATTAAGCAATTCCACTTTGCTTGTCACATGCTATGGCAGGTAGCGCAAAACCCGAAAACCTCCCCAAACTCTCCCAACTGGAAAAAAAAAAAAGCAAATCACAAAAATCACCATACAGAACTTCAGCCGAAGTGACAATTCAGCTTTTTTTTTTTTTTTAGGGAATACCGTGGAAACGGTGGGCAAACCGGAGTGCGATACCGCAAGAGGACCGGTGCATATGAAACCTTGTGAATTCCTTGGGCTGTGAGCTGAACTCGCTCCGGTTTTGTTTTGCTTCCGTCCACGGC